AAAAAAAAAAGAAGAAAACAAGCTTATCCCTTGAAAAGCTGCATGAAGTATAAATAACAGATCGGATCAGATGAATTAGAGCAGCAGAGCAGCTCTCATGGGTGTTTCTTCCTCGTACAAAATCGATAATTTTTTATTTTTTTTTTTTTTGTTTCCTTTTCCTATTTATCTTCTCTCCTCTGCTCACTATCAGTCTTCTGCCAAAAAAATAGGGCATTTTTAATATTTTTTTATATAATTCAGGTGGAAAATCTAATACGTGGAAACTTTTTATTTTTTATTTTTTATTTTTAGGTTTTTACCAGTCAATCGGTCTTATGGTAATAGAATTGCCAAAGCCCATTATTGGACTGAGAATAGTGACAGCAGTTGGGCGTGAAACTTTGGGCCCCGACCTGTAACCATAATGATGGTAATTAATTATGAGGAATGCAAAAATTACAAATACCAGAAGAATTTGTTTGATAACTTATTTTGTGTTTATTTCATTTTAATAAAAAATATATTAAATAGAAAATAATAATTTTACAGTGATATATTGTATGTTTTTTTTTTAATAACAGCATATGGAATTTGCAAAAACTAATTATTCCATAGTTGTTGAATATGGAATTAATAAGGTAGTATAAGACATATCTATTTCACTAGTAATAAAGTTGTTAATTTTACCATCAAATGATTAAGACAGATGTCCAAACATGTTGTGTAAGTAAAAGGTGGAGAGTCATAATATTATGAGTTTAATTTAATCCCATATTTAGACAAATATGGAATAATTGATATGGAAATGATTATGACAATTTGTTTCTATTTATTCGAATATGTTTGAGGCAGTATTAGTAGGTGGGACCAATGCATAGATATGTGCAGTTTGTCTTTTGGTACCAACACATTCTTCTACTGCTCAATTTTTGAATTAATGCCACTTTTTTCCTATATTTATCATCTGTTTATTAGGGTCAAAGGGTTGACCATGGCCCAAGCATGCTATTTTTAATTCATATTTTTTATTTATTATTTTTTTTTTTTGTTCAAATCTTGAAAATTCTTGAAAAAAATAAAACATTGTGAAGTTCACTGTTAAGAAAGTGCTCGTGTTCACTCAAAAACGGCATATGTTCTTACAACAATGATGAAAAAAATTCCCTATTGAGACTGCTTGTCCCAAAAAAGGGACCCTTGATCACTGGGCTAAACACAATTCCATGTAGCTATCTATATCTACCTAGAAGAACTTTGACCTAATTAACTACATATATATTGGATAATAAAAATAATTGACTTGTCGTCAAGATCATTATATGTGTCTGTTGCTAATAAGGATCACTAGGTGAAGTACTCACCAAATCCTGTGTTTCTTGCTGCAGCTATTTAGGACAATATCTAAACTCTAATGTATATATCGTAACCATACGCTGTTAGGTTTATCGATGTCTATACTTTTACATAGGAAAATGGCAAACCGATTGATATGTCGTCATCAAATACATCAAAAAAGACTTCGAGTAATTAAACTAACTAAAGTCCCATCAAATATTTCCTCTGTTGAAGGGTACTACAAAATTGGTTAGTTTTCTTCTAATATGCTTCCCTCAAGCTTCTGCAAATATTGTCTTCTCTATCAAATGAAGATCATTTGTGGGTACCTGCTGCCATTTTTGAATCGACAAGACGGACTTCCTGAGGAAGAAGATCGTATTTTATATTAAGCTCTTCAAAAATCTTTTTCATCTCCAGGACTAGTTCGGTTTTGCGCCTGTTCTTCTCGGCAAAGTCCTGAAAGTTCATTGTGTGGTTGAAAAAGAGAGCCATCTTAATCTTGTTCACGTTCTCGATCTCCTTCACAACCACATTGTGATTAGGGTGCCAATGCTGCGGATTTTTCTCCAAGTACCTGAATTTTTTTTCATTCGTCAGAAATGTCGACTTTTATCTAGCATTTTTCAAGACAAGTTCAATTCCTCGTTTATGTTAGACAAGGACCATTTTTGCAATCTGACTGTATGAGAAAGCAAATACATTACTAATGGATTTTGAATCTCTTTTTTCGTATAGAAGCATGCTCTAGTACCGCATTAGAGAAAGAAACAGAGAAAATACATTAGCATGATGAAAGTGGCAAGGCCAAAAGCAATTTATTCTGGAATAATAAATATATCTTATAGTATAGCATGATTCTAACATTTGCTACTAATATCATGAATAGCAGGTATTCAAATTCATTTTGTTTCCCTTCTTTATGTGCATACTCCCTGACAACTATTTTCTTTTTTCTTCTTGTGGTAATAAAGAGGGAAAGAAAAGTGAATAGTTGCCTTTTAATTTTCTCCTTCAAAGCCCCGATTTTCTCCAGTGGCGTCCTGAAATCAATGCCGAACTCAAGCGAATCACCCATATCCGGGCTTCTGTAGAAATTGCTTATTGGTTTCGTCGCCAAAACCGAATTCGGGTAAAAGATTTTCTCATTATCATATCTCAAAAAGACAGTAGTCAGGATATTCATCTCCTCCACAATCATCTGCAATTGTTGTGGCACAGAAAAAAATTACTAGTTGATTACCTCACCAAAAAAAAAAAAACAAACAACAACAACAACAAAACACGAGTATTTTCTCAACATTTTATACCTGAATGCCATCAACCACACAACGATCACCGACATCAAATGGGTGCATTACGAATACAAAGATAATAGCTTCAAAGATAGTCTTGCAAGTGTTCCCAAACATAAAAACAGCTAAAACGAGCTGTGACGAGAGGAACACGAGCACTTTGGTTGTTGCTATTCCCGTTAAGAGAAGCCACACGACTACAATAATGATGATCAATAGTACCGTAACAAGTTTGTTCAGTTGCTTTACGGCTGTTTTGGTGTCGTTCAGTGCATGAGCTAGTGCCTTGCGGCCGTTATAAACCTTCACCTGCATTGAAATTCATTACATAGAAAAACTTGTAAAGTTCACGGAGAAATAACTTCTTATCTCATCACACTTGTCAGAGATGGTCACTTGGCCTTTTGGGAAACTAAACACGAAATATTCAAGAATTCTTCTGATTTCAATTTCTTATGTCGTCACTATAGCTTTCATACAGCCTTTTCAAAATTTTCGAATACATTCTCTGTTTTAAGGCAGTAGAAGTGTAGAACTATCATTCGAATAAACTGATACATGATTTAATTATCTTTGTCCAATTTAATCACAAGATGGGAACTACATACCACCCACTCCGTTAAAGCTTTCCTGTCAATCTGTCCAGTCTCAGCAGCATCAATCATAGGAAATACATAATCGACCTCTTCTTTAATCATGAACCTCCTGAAGTCATATTCATCAAGGTACCTACACAAACAATATTTAAAAAAAAATTTCTTGAGAAATATAGACATACAACATTGGAGTGAATCTTTAGCCTTTTTTTTCTGTATTTTTCTTATTCTTCTTATTTTTTCTTGAAAAAAATGAAAGAAATCTGCAAAGTTAACATTGTTCGATTTTAGGCTAAACTTCAAACACAGTTAAAAAAAATCCTCAACACATATCAAAGATGGCTTGTTGAGCTCACGTGCAACCAGGCTGGGCCACATTTCTGAAAATGTGATATGCAGCAGCAATTGCCTCCTCCTCATTAGTGATCTCCTTATCCGTTTGCTCATTACCTCCATAATAAGCACTCTCATCAATCGCATTCGAAAGCGTGGTGAGGCCCGAATTAGATATCACATCAACCAACATCTTCATAGTCCACGCAGAAACCTTCTCATGCTTCATCCGGTGAAGCTTGTTCATATCAATCACATCTTTCTCCTTCTTTTCTTTTCCCTCTTTATCCTTCTTCTTCACGCGGAAGCTAAACTGACTCACGTTACTGCTCGTTTTCCCCAGCATTTGAGCTGACTCCATAACCGGAGGTCCCGAAAGCGTAAACAATATGTACTGGTGGAAAATTGACTCCTGAATCCGGTCAAAGAAAGTGTTCACGTGAAAAGAGGACGCTAGAATTTTCAGCAGCAATGTCTTCAACAGCCATAAGAAGGCACCAACAAGCATTGAAACAAGCGTCCAGGTTATGAAGTCCAAAATTTGGTTCGCCCGGTGTGACCTTTTTACCCTTTCTTGGAACAGCAAAACCCAGGTAATAAGTACCAGTGCAAACCAAATAAAGGCTCGTACGCTATCTTTCAGTCCGTACACGAAATACAGCACTTTCTTCTTCAGCAGAAAGTTCAGCTCAATCAACAAGACAACCAAACTGATCAGCCACTCAGAAACAAGCAAGCCACTAAATGTGACCAAAACGAGCAAGCACCATTTCCAGAGCTGCAAACCCCAAGCCGTTAGCTTCTGCAACCTGTCAACAGTCGATGCCGCTATCAAACAGCCGAGAATACACAAGAACAGCAACCACTCGATCAGAACCTTAGCTTTCACTTTTCTGTATTTGAGTTTCTTTCTGCTGCTAACCTTTTTATATATTTCCTCATCCTCATCAACTCCTCCGATGGTTATCAATGGCGTTTTGGGGGTTACGGGCATAGCCCTGTTTGATTCACCACGTGGCGAGCTCCGGCTGGACATCACATTCCCCTCAGCCGACAGCCGATTTTCTTCGGGCAGCCTGCCATCGATTGGTACAGACTGTTCGCCGAATCTGGACTTGGGCTTTGAGTAAACCGACCTCGAGAACGATTTTCTCCGAGTTAGGGTTTCGGATTTGGGGATTTTGGGGGGTTTGTTGGAGCTTGGGCCAATCCGTGCAATTTCAGGTGATTTTGCGGCCGTGGGCGTCGACGGATTGGATATTTTAGGAGGCGAATCAGCTAAACGCTGGAAATTTTGGGGATTTTGAGTATCTGAGATTGGGGATTTTGAAACCTTGTCATCTCCATGGACGTGTATGATGAAATCACTCTGTTTTTGCAGGTTTTCCGCCATGCTTATTTCGCCGCTACTCATTCGAGCTTTACTGCTCGTCTCCATTGATTTAAGCCTAAAAAAAAAAAAAAAA